GTGAGTAGCCACGGCGAGAGGAGAAAACGCGACGGCGGAGTGACGTACAGTAAGACTAACGAACCAATGTTTGTTTGGCGAAAACGAACGGAAATCTCCCCGTTCGCAGGAAGGGAGGCTGCCGTTCTACTTCGCTCATTACCGGTACTTTTGCCGAAAGTTGTCTTTTATGGGGTGGGGTGGGGTTGGGATGGAGAAGAAGGGGAAAATGAGAGAGAGAATGAGAATGAAAGTGGAAGAAGAGAGAGAGATAGAAAGTGGAAGAGAGAGAGAGAGAGATAGAAAGTGGAAGAGAGAGAGAGAGATAGAAAGTGGAAGAGAGAGAGAGAGATAGAAAGTGGAAGAGAGAGAGAGATAGAAAGTGGAAGAGAGAGACAGACAGAGAATAAGAATTATATAAAAATAGAAAGAGAAAGAGGAAGAGAAAGAGAGGGGGAGGTAAGAGTAAGGCGTTCATTTCCGTAAGAGGGAGAATGAGAGAAAGTGAGTGCGACAGACAAAAGAAAGAGAAAGAGAGAGGAAAGAGAGAAAGAAGTGAGGCAAGCGTGAGTAGCATTTGTCTCCGAATCGCAGAGACGCGTTTGGTGGGATGAAAAGCAGGAATAAAAGATTGTGAATAGAAGGGAATTAGAGGAGAGAAAGTGTTTGTTTTTTCCGTCGTGGGCGTGGAGGAAGAAGGAGGAGGAGGAGGAGAGAGGAAGAAGAGAAGAGGAGGAGGAGGAGGAGAGAAAAGAAGAAGAGAAGAAGGAGGTGGGTGGGTGGGGGTTGGTGGGATGAAGAACAGGAATAAAAGATTGCAAATAAAAGGAAATTAGAGGAGAGAAAGTATTTTTTTCCGTCGTGGGCGTGGAGGAGGAATAAGAAGAAAAAAAAAGAAGGGGGTGGGTGGGGGGCGGGATGCTTTCTTTTATTCTCTCGTGGGCGTTTGGGGTCGGGTGGACTTCCCCCCCATATTGTTCTTATTCTTTGTCTTCGGTTTCTGGGGCACAGATTTTCTTTTTTTTCCTTTTCTTTTCTTTTTCCTTTTTACTTGGAGGAAGATCGTTCTTGTTTCCGTTTTCCTTCTGGTTGAGACGAAAAGATTTTCTGTTTGTTCGCTGGTTAGATTTTTTTTTTTTATGAGCGGGAGGTGATTGTCAGCAACTTGTGAGCATTTTATGCATTTTGTACGCTGCGATGATCGGGTTGTGTTATTATTATTATTATTGTTTATTATTATTATTATTATTATTATTATTATTATTATTATTATTATTATTATTATTGTTATTATTATTGTTGTTGTTGTTTATTTTTGTTTTTGGTTTGTTATTTTATTGTTATTGTTGTTGTTCTTGTTCTTGTTCTCATTATTATTGTTATTGTTATTATTAATAATATTGTTGTAATTGTTATCATCATCATCATTGGATCCAGCGTATGTAATATGACGACAAAAAAGGTTATGATATAATACTGTAATCGAAAGGTAAATGTATGTCGAGAAGTATAACTTGTTAGTTTCAGATATTGCTTATCTGTGAAGGCTATTCAGAGACGAGTACTGAATGGGAAGAAAAGATAAGAGAGGAAAGTGGTCTACAATTGTCAGAGAAGTTGGTCATATGTACAAGTTTTTGATTAATGTATTTCTTAGTGCGATTAATTGTAAAACTGTGGCCTGTGATAGTGTTTATCATTGCTATCGTTATTCTTATTCGTATATGTGTCACTGTGATGGGTTATTTTACTGTGGTAATAGCGTTTCCATTTTTAGTTATTTTTATTTCCTGCTTTGTGTACGTTATTGTTAATTTGCTTAATGATGACGATCATGGCAGTTTTGAAAATTAGTATGAACAGCTTGTTAGTCATTTCCTACGGCCACCCTGTGTACTGTGTAATACGTAAAGTGGCCGTGACGATAATGGTGCAGGTGATTTTGATAAGAGTATGAATAACGTATTAGTCATTTCTCTTTGTTATTTTCAATTGCCCGTCATTCTTTCGCGGGGCGTGACTGTCACCCCGTGCGCGTTGCTGCTTTTTCAGATCTATCGTCTGTTATCTATTGTCTGTCTGACTTGGTCGATCTATTTTCTACTCTCTCCTGTCACGGACCAAGGGTGCTGTCGCGGCCGCAGCGACCGGCGCCTCTGACTGAGAACTTACGCAGGTTTACTGGCCTTGGTGCCTGGCGAGAGCAGCAAGGCCGTGCGTGGCCGGTGGGCGCGCGCCGGAAGATGACGTGGGAGGGAAACGGACTCGGGAGGAAGGTCGCCGTCGTTCCGAGGGTGTCTGGCTAATTGCCTAATTGCTCGTCTCGGCGGATGAGTGCAGCTGGTTAGCCGCCGAGAAAAAGGGAGTTTACGGCGACCGGATGCGAATGGGAGCGAAAGAAGGGGGCCGAGGAGAGAAGGAAGGGCGTGCAGCGCGGCGAGGGGAAGCGGCGGCGTGAGGTCAGCGCCAGGGAAACTCTCACGTTGATCCTCGCGCTGGAAAGGTCAGGCGACTGGCGGGCGTTTCCTGGATGGGTGCGAGGCTGGCTAAAAAGAGTCAGAGTTTGGGAAGAAGAGTTGGGGAAGATCGCTCGGGTTGGGGCGGACCTTGCTGCGAGGTTCTGCGTGGTCGTCGCGCGGTGCAAAGTTGTGGTTATCCTCTCGTAGGCCTATATTTCCATCCGTCAGTCGTGATGTCTGGTTTTGCGTCGTATTTTTATACTTTGATCCAATTCCGTTGATAGATGTCATATCGACAACTTTGTAATTGTATTGGGAGTATAAGTGTCAGTGTGAATAATTTTTCCACGCCCAGCATTCAGTTATAAATAGCTTGTTGATTTAGATCGGACATGCTCATTAGTGCAAATGGGGATCAGCCAGGACCTTTGTCGCTCCCTCTGCCACTCTCGGGGAGAAATGCCGACTCATCACCACCGCCTTGGCCGCCGAACATGCGTGAAGGCGACGAGAATAAAGGAAAGAGAGAGAGAGAAATAAAATGGGCCGAATCGTCGCGTTTCTACGATAGGCTTTTCGCTGTTCGTGCCAAGGACTGGCTCGGTCGGGACGCCGTGTCACGTGTTTTCAGGGTCGCGCGACTGCGAAGGTCACCTCGAGTCTCCTCCTGCTTGGGATCGTCACGAAGCAGGGGATTTGGGACATTATTTCGAACGTAATAAGAAAGGTAATGCGTATTATTGATTTAAGAAAATGGAGGGTTCGCGGTCGTGAGGAATCGCGAGACGGCCCCGTGTCATTTAAAGGGCAGGGAGGTCCTGTATGGCAGGGGCATTGACTCTGCCTTGTGAAAGAGGGAGGATGACGAGGGCGTTTCGGAGGGCCAGAAAATATCATCCAGGTGTTTTTTGTTTATTTGTGTGTGTGCGTGTCCGTATGCGTGTGCGACTGTAAATTTGAGTATGTGCGTCCGATGGCGTGCGTTCTCGGAATGTGCCTATTTATAAAGCAAGACTCACGTTTATTACCTGACGTCATTCGAGATATTTATAACCGAGCCTCATGTTGATTACCTGACGTCAGACTTATTTCTACAAAATTCCATACCGTTAATCCTTGGGGTTACAGGCGTGTGTAATAGCGCGCGCCGGTAGAGTTGCACTTCCATTGCAGCAACAAAGACTTCCGGCCTTCCAGCAGATGTTATAATGACCGCAGCGTAAATACCGGTCTAACAAAAGAGATGTGATGCAAGAACGACAGGGACATGCTTCCCTCCCGGCCCTGCCACGCAGCCTCACGCCAGGGAAAGGTTGATCATGTTGCGGGTGGATATGCTGGTAAAAATGCTGCTATGGTGGCGAAGGTATTCCAGATTTTAGCTTCTTCTAAATCGGGTTTAAGTGTCGCTTAAGCGATTGTTTCTCGTTATTCACCCGAGAAGAAAACAGAAGCCTTCTAACAGCTCAAACGGATTTCTTATTTTTAAAATTATTTTGAAGTGCTTTCGCGAGCGGTGTCGAAGTAGCGGTAGCCGCTGCGCTTTCACGCGAGGAGAGCCGTCATCTGTGCTACTCGTGTAAATAAAATTCCGGCAATTGCAGCGATCGTGATGGCGTGTTATAATGCCGGTAAGCGAGCGGTGATCATGAACGAGAAAGGGCTTTCAGGAAGGGCAATTGCGCTAGTTTTATGGGCGAGTGAAATTCGGCGGCTTCCTTGGTGGCGGTGGCGGGTTGGTCGGGCCGAGATTGCGGAGATGCGCCGCCGGCCGTCGCTGCGCAAGACGTGGTCGTTTCTTCGGCAAGGAGGACTCCCCCCAGACGGACGACGACGAGGCACGAAACGTTTGGCGGATTTACAGAACGTTTGCAGGGCCTTAGTCTTTTCGAGTGTGCTTTCGGTGAGGTCTTCGCTCAGTGCCGCTCTTGCGCACCGGCGCGCGACGCGGCCGAAAGCGCCGGTAAGCGTAGCGTTTTCGCTGTGGTGCGAAACGGCGGAAAACGGGATTGGCCGGGCTTGATAACGTGTCGCTTTAATTTCACTTTTATTGAGGGAAAGTTGTAGCGCCAACCGACAAGTGTTAGATTTCTATGGTTATGTAAAATGATATCCGGTTTGTGTGTGTGTGCGTGCGTGCGTACGTGCGCGTGAGTGTTCATTTTCTAACATGTGTTTTGAATCTCCAAGACACTTAACACGTGCTTTCAACACCTGTAAGCTTACAGGGAGAATAAAAGATCAAAGTATAGATTAGACACTTTTTGAGATCTCGGTCTTCACCATTCATTAATTTCGAATACCTTGCACGCATAATACTTCAGTAACAGAAATTTAATGAACAGTTAACTCTCGCGCCGTATTCACTTTCTAAACTAAGAATCTGTTATAACGTGATTTTTACTGTATATTTCCAGTTTACGTAGGCCTATTTAAGCTGTCGAAATTATGACCAAATATCCTCGCTCAGTCACCAGAAACATTTCTAGAACTTATCCAAGCAGAAACTTGATGATATACATGCCACTTGGTCACCTTGACGACTCGAACGGCGCGACACAGATGCTGATTTTCATACCTTGTGAATAGTTATTGTTTTCCTATCGACTTGATGTGTCTTTGTTGTGAAGGAAAGAGGCGTAGCGGAAGGAAAGTTTGTCCTTGAACGGCGGAAAAGACGGTTATTCAAGTCGTTCTGGAGTCCCC